GGGCTGGGTGGGGGGAGGGGGGGGTGGGGGGCAGGAGCACGAGCAGGGCAAAAAAGCGTCCGCCTTCGTCGAGAGCCAAGCAGAACTTATGAGGAAGAACTCGGGCATATTGTATTAGCATATTCTTTTGAGGATGCGATGGAGTCTCAGAAGTATCTCCTGGAGTCGACATTTTTAAAACCCGCGTTGCAGCCTGGTGTTTCGTGTGAACGCGTTACGAAGCAACAATCATGGCAGGCAGCAGCAGCGCGAAGTGGCTGGGCGGCTGCACAATTGGGGTCACCAACCTTTTTGAAGCTGAGAGCTACTTCTTCTCGACTGATTAGTGTGACGGCTACAAGTTTGATACACGCCTTTGAAATAGCAAAAGTTGCTCAAATGACATTCAATCATATGAAATTATTATTATTAATACATAATGCGGGCAGCATAGTGTTGAATTGGTTAGCATGTCATCCACACAGCACAGAAGTGCAGGGTTCGATTCAGGCTATGGCCTTCCTGTGTGAAGTTTACATGTTCTCTCCGTGCCTCTGTGGGTTTTCTCCGGGTACTCCGGTTTCCTCTCACATTCCAAAAAATATGCATGGCAGGATGATTGGTCACTCTGAATTGTCCCTAGGTGTGAGTGTAAATGGCTGTTTGTCTATGTGTGTCCTGTGATTGGATGGCAACCAGTTTAAGGTGTCCCCCGCCTACTGTCGGAAGACAGCTGGGACAGGCTCCAGCACGCCCGCGACCCCCATGAGGTTAAGTGGATTACAAAATGGATGGATGGATAATATACAAAACCAATTTCAATGAAATTGGGACATTGTGTTAAATATAAATAAAAACAGAATGCAATGATTTGAAAATCATGTTATCATATAATTAATTGAATAGTCTACAAAGACTAGATGTTTAATGTCCACACTGATAAATTTTATTGTTTTAGCAAATAATCATTAACTTAGAAATTTATGGCTTTAACATATTCCAAAAAGGCTAGGACAGTCATGTTTACGACTGTGTAACATCGCCTTTTCTTTTAACAACAATAAACTTTTGGGAACTGACGACATTAATTGTTGAGGCTTTGGAGGTGCAATTCTTTCCCATTCTTGCTTGCTGCTTAGTCTCCATTGTCATATTTTACACTTCATAATGCACCACTCATGTTCAATGGGAGACAGGTCTGGACTGCAGGCAGGCCAGTCTCGTACTCACTCTTTCCATTAACCGCTTCCATTTATCACCTGTACAACATACCTAGAAAACCACAATCCCCCATCATTGGTGAACTATTTTTGGAAGAGGCCCATTACGTTGCTGACCCATGATGCACGGCGTGTGAAAGCTGAAAAGGATCTTTTGGTGTTAACTTGTTTGACCTCAATTTCTCTTTGCAGGACCTTGGTGGGGTGAGTCCACCTCAAAGGAACTGGAAGGGCATCGCCATTGCCTTGCTGGTCATCCTCGTGGTTTGCTCCCTCATCACCATGTCAGTCATTGTCCTCACGCCAGGTAAAATCCTTGTCAGACTCAAGAGTCTGTTTTTTTTTTTTTTTAATAATATTGTGTTTAAGTTCAGATGCCAAACACATTTTCCCTTTAAAAATCCACAATAGTACAATGGGTTGTATGGAGATAGACAGGCTTACAGTGGCACATTTATGAAATGTGTTAATTTATTTACTGGTAGCTCAAGAAATTAAAATGTTGATGATACAAACTCAACTCACTTTCTACCCTAATGTTTTGATTTTTTTAAAATATACTCACATAACCGTTTTCTGAACCAGTCTTATTAGAAAACCACTGTGTTAGAGGGATAAAATAAAAAATGTAGAAGAGGTAATTGATACACATCCAGCCATCATTTTGTATACACACGAGTAAATTTTTCATACAGTTCAAAACGATTAAATTCATTGATCTAATTGAAACTACCCAAACAATCTACAATGCTACAAATAATCTGCTACGGGTAATTTCACAGGCACTGTTTATCAAAAGGGAGGGGCGTTTTCAGGTCACTGTCAGTATCTATGCAGTTAAGCTGTGGAATGATAGTGTAGTGTGGAAATCTAGAAAAAAACTTAAACATAAGTTAGGAGGGCCCGCTGAAGGGCCGTCCATCATCTGTCAAAACAAATCACTGATTTACGTCATATGTGTGAACATGTTATACATCTTTGAAAAGCTGAGTTTCTAGATTTGAATGGTACCCTACATGTTACAATTGTCAAATTTGAACCGGAACTTGGGGAGACCTCAAGCTTTGATCATGTCATGTTTTCAAGTCCTAATCAACATTCTAAATCCATTTTCAAGGCAGATATTGTGAAAAGAAATTAGACGAACATAAGATTCACCTTTTTCTTCTGTTTGCAAACATCCATAGTTCAGTGGCAGGAACACTTACACAAATTCTTACTGTATGGGAGAAATATTCATAATGTGACATTTTGAATATTTCAAAAAGTGACCAAAACTATGCTGATACTCCAAATGGTTCAAGAATAGCTAAACATTTACTTTGGGTGCACCTTTCCACAGGCGTTATCGGCAAAGTTGCCCTCGGTTTAAGGAGTTAAAAACACATATAAAGGCACCATTTTCACAGATATCTACAAAAGACTTTGTAATGTGGACATATTTGCATTTAATTGTATCTATATCTATTTTGCTATAGCTTAAAAAGCAATATCGTATTGTTGCAATATAACAGAAAACTTGTCATAATAGTTCTTACAATGTACAATATTTTGAATAATAGAATTTTATGTATCCAGTTACTGTTTTTTTAGAGCATTTTTGGATACTTATTTGTAATATTAATATCTAATTATTATATCTGCATATTCTGGAAAAATTGTGCAATAACTACAGCTCTTTATGTATACTGACATGGTAATATAAGATACTTTGTAGAATCCTAAGTAAGGGGTAAAACTAGAAAAGTCTGTACTTACTCCTTACCCCTTTTGAGCATGTGACCACGTTTATATGCCGTCAATTCGAGCTATGGAAAAGGGGCGACGACACTGCCTGCACCTCCAGTCACAGAGAGAGAGAGAGAGAGAGAGAGAGAGAGAGAGAGAGAGAGAGAGAGAGAGAG